AACATTAAACTAAAATCTTTAACAAAGTAATTATCAAAAACATAAACCTTACTTATAGGTTAATATTAACAAGATCACGTCATAAATTCCTTGAAAACTAGTTTCTTTCTACGAACACCAAATTCTTCTCATAAAGCTAATATTTTTTATTATCTATTTAGTTTAATTACAGTCCGGAATGACATATTTTCATGATTTATATAATTCAAAGTAGCTTACATTATTTATTTTAAAATTTTTAACACATTACAAAAATGACATGATTGATTTATAATTCAAATCACAAAACATATAAATATTCAAAACTGCCGCTTTTTATCTCCCCTCTCTACATATGGGACATATGGAACACTAGCGCCCTCTTATTTTTGTAAGATTTTTGTTTACATGGAGTTCGGGCTCCTTGTATAGTCTCCATGGGAATAATCATGGAGACTATCCGCGATAATTTTTAAGATGCAAGCGCACCAAGCGGCGAAAGCAGTAAGCTCCGAAACAAGGTAATTTTGACATTGCCGTTCGCGTTTACACATTCATTTGAACAACATTTGTCTTATTTGCCATTATTAATAGTAATTTTGTTATCAAACTGCGGTTATTTCACTTTTGTGTTATTTTATAGGTTTCAAAAATTTCATAAATAAATTTTAAGGCAAGTATTTATGTCTACTTTATTTGTCTCTAGCATTACAATGTAATGTACATTTTATTAAGTTATAACTATGAACTTATCCGTTGTGGAATACATTTCCTATTTACATATATGCTAACGAAAGCTCTCGTTGTATATTAGAAGAAGAGGCAGTTTTTAAAGCTGATCATGTGGTACTATATGGGAAAATTGAGCAAAGTTAATTTAAATTTAGAAATTTATATTATGTCTGCAGACTAGTGCCCTTACTTACTAACAACCCTCATGAAATTCAGGGAGTATTATCTATCGGCAATAATATTTTGAAAATTTCTTCAATGGTTTGATGAAAACTTAATTCTGGATTTCTCTTGGACCATGAAGAGCAACCTTGAACTGAACAATAATAGTTTGAC